GTGAGACCTCATTTATACTTGGACTACTTCTCCCCTATAGATCTCTCTGAGTTGACCTCAACAATTGCTTCATCTAAATCATCAACATGTCTCCTGGACCCCATCCCGACCAGGCTGCTCAAAGACGTCTTTCCCCTAATCAGCACATCCATAGTAGATCTGATTAACCTCTCTCTATTAACTGGTTATGTTCCACAGGCTTTTAAACTTGCAGTAATTAACCCTCTACTCAAGAAGCCTACTCTTGACCCAGGTGTCCTAGCTACTTATAGACCAATATCCAATCTCCCATTTATTTCCAAAATCCTTGAAAAAGCTGTTGCAAAGCAGTTATGTGACCACTTGCACAAGAATGATTTCTTTGAGGATTTTCAGTCAGGGTTTAGAGTCCATCATAGTACAGAAACCGCATTAGTGAAAGTCACCAATGATCTTCTCCTAGCCTCGGACAAAGGACTTGTCTCCATACTTGTCCTCTTAGATCTCAGTGCTGCTTTTGACACCATTGATCACAGCATCTTACTGCAGAGACTTGAACATGTTATTGGGATTAAAGGAACTGGGCTAAGTTGGTTCAAATCTTATTTATCAGAAAGATTTCAATTTGTTCATGTTAATGACGAATGTTCCACACAAACTGAAGTTAGTCATGCGAGGTGTCTTGTTAGTTTTCATGTAGTTTGGCAGATGACATTATTTTCATAAACTTCGAAATAAACGGTCGTGGTCACACTCTCTCACGAAGCAAATAATTTAGTCTTTTCTTACCTTTTATTTTAAACGCAACGACACGCGTAGATTGTAATTGTCCTCAATGTCAACACGCCAATATCGGAAGTTAGCTGTCGTTAGGTACGGGAACACAGAGGAAACTTTTCTCCTTGCCTAACAAACCTGAGGGTAAAGTTGTAGTGCGCCCACTACTGACCGGGAGGACATTGAAACATATACTATCTTCGTAGTGGAGTGACCTATTACCATGGGCTAAACACATGCATGTATTAACTCGAACCCTGTTTTTTTTTACCCTATATTAAAATATATTAACCATGATTTTTAGCAAAATATTGTAGCGAGCGGGGGTAGGGGGGCTACTGACAGACACTGTGTGAGTTGCTGCCACCACAATGGTAAAAGGTTTAGACAAATGTTATATATCGTTTTAATGAGAAGCTGAATAAATCTGTTTTTCTCGTGATGACAATAATACGCTGCCATACGCTATCCACCCAATTAAAAAAACAAAACTATGAACCTGCTTATATGAGCTGTGTAAGCGGATACAGGCCCTTCTTGGCTGCAGTCAGCGCTTTCCATCCGGAAGTATTTTGGAGACGCACACATTATAATGGCATCATGTTCGTTAAATAGCGCGTTTGTTGACGATATTAATGATCCGGGAGCCGCTCCCTATGGCAACTTTATAAATTATTACACATTTAATCCTCCGGAGAACCGTTTGAGCCTGATTCCGACCACACTCCTTCAGGATATTGGCTACAGCGATCGCCATCAACCTACACTGATCCTGGACGTGGGATGTAATTCAGGGGTATGTGCCTTGGGGACATACAGTACCTGTCTCTAAAAAGTGCATCTATGATACCCATTTAAATCGAATATTCCCAGTATTTCTATTAAATTTAGATTAATATGGTCGACTTGCGAGAAAGTGATCAAATTTGAGTTAGTAGATGCCACAATATCTTTACTTTTACCGAGTCAAGCCTCTGCACTCTAACCTCAACACCCTACATTTCCCAAAGTGCAACAGATAGTGTCTTTGATGACAGGTTTAGTGAAAGACACTATCAGGATTTTTTTTTTTCAAACTTTAGAAAGTGTCCTCTGAGCCACACAAGTAAACAAATTCTTATACAAAATGTATGGATTGGTCCTCTACTATAGCATAAGTACTTAATGTTGTCCTCCTCTTTTCCCTGTGCATGACAGGAACTGAGTGTAGCTTTTTACAAGCATCTGGTGCAGGAGCCTGAATCAGATGGAAGTAAAGTTCATCTCCTGGGTTTAGACTTGGATGAGGGCCTCATTCAGCGGGCTCAGCAGACCAACCCTCTGCTCAGCAACATCTCCTTCATTTCTCTGGACATCACTGCAGCCACTGACCAACTGCAGGATTACCTCAACCAGCACAGCTGCTCCAGCTTCCACCTGTGTTTGTGTCTGGCTGTTACCATGTGGGTCCATTTGAACCACGGAGACTCTGGCCTGCTACAGCTGCTTTCTCGCTTGGCCTCTATCAGCCAGCACCTCCTGATGGAGGCCCAGCCCTGGAAGTGCTATCGCTCTGCAGCCCGGCGGCTGAGGAAGCTGGGTCGCTCAGACTTTGACCACTTTAAGACTTTGAAGATTCGTGGGGATATAGCAAAATGTGTGAGGGAGCATCTGGAGAGACACTGTGGCATGAAGCTTATTCATAGCTTTGGCCGCACTGCATGGGACAGAAAACTGCTGCTCTTCAAAAAAAGCTAAGACTGAAGGACAATGTTAAGCTTTAATTTGTAGCAGGGAGATGATCAGGATGACAAAAAACAAAGAAAAAAAATGTTGTTTAAAGGTTGAAATGTGGAGTTGGATTACTTGGTTGACATTACTCATCATTTTGGGTAATTCATTTATGGTTGAAATAACTTACAAAGAAAATGTCAAATGTACCGTTTCCAGCTTCTGAAATACGAAGAGTTATACTTATTGTCTTAAACTCTAGGAAATAGTGCATGTCCTTGGGTTTTGTACTCTTGATTTGGCAAATGAATTATTTTTGAAGACAACACCTTGGGCTGTGGAAACGGCCGATAAACTTTATTTTACTATGTAGTGACATTTTATAGCCCAAACTATTAGTCTGTAAATTGATAAAACTGGCAGTTTAAGCTTTATGCAATTTAGTTATTATAGAGAAATGTTTGCCTGTGTCAGACAATAGTTAAAAATATTTAACTATCTTTTGTTTGACCCAAAATCCAAAGATACTCAGTTTATACTGGTATTAAATCTTCACACCAAAGAAGGAACCAAGCAATGCTTAGAATCTGTACTTGACAAAATGAATAAATCACCTAATCAAATTACTGAATAATCAATATTGCCAATTCAGTTGCCACTGCAATGACAATGTGTTCCAGCTCTAGAAGAACTGGGAGCTGTGGTATATGGAATTAAATTATTTGTATAGCACCAGTTCACAACAACAATCATCTCAGGGCACTTTACACAGTGAGGTCTAGACCTTAGGAGTTTTATACGGAAAACCCCACAAATCCCCCCTGAGCAATCACTTGGCGACAGTGGAGAGAAAAAAACTCCCTTTAACTGAAGAAACCTCCAACAGACCCTGGCTCTTGGTGGACGGCCTCCAGCCTCAAATGGTTGGGATGAGTGGATAGAGGAAAGAGAAAAGAAAAGTATCAGGGCACAACAAACACTGGGCAGGTTAATGTGGTCAGTGACTGCTCAACAGAAACATGGAGCACCGGGGCCAGGGATACCTGCAGAAAGGTACGAGAGAGAGAGAGAGGACACTACAGGAGAGAGGAGACACACAGTTAGTGCTGTTCTGGTGGCATATATAAATAAAATGGAGAAGAGGGAAAAGAGGAGGGGAGGTCAGAGCATCATGGGAGGATTCCCAGCCTAGGCCTATGACTTAAGGAACGGTACGCCAAACCAAACCTATCTTAAATGCACATCCACTATAAGGGTGTAAACCACTGGCATGGTTAAATATACTCAGTGGCACCTGGCCAGCCCAGGCCCCATGTTTACTTGCTGTTGCAGATGGCTGCTAGTCATCCTTTTTCAGCCACATTATGGTGCCAAGACATAACAACATGCTAAGCACCTTTCTACCCTCCTTCACTGTCCTACAAGTACTATATTGAAAATTAACTAACAGAACTATATCATATCAGAAAGGAAAGTTTTAAGCCTAATCTTAAAGGTTTGTTGAAATACACGTTTTTCAAAAACAATCTGCCTCACTGATCAGTTTTGTCAATTTCAATATTTGCCAAAGATTACCTAGTTCTACAACCACTCACTTTGAGAATATGAAATCAGAACCCTGCCCATTTTTTCCATTTTCAAAATGCAGCTGTTCCCTTCTGTGTCAGAGCTGTCTGAACTTCACTGGTCAGTAATGCAAAACTAAGAGACCTAAACCTCAGCACGTTACTCAAATTTTCATAATTTTAATTACAGAATACTAAAAAATAACATTACATAAAACGTCTTTTTAAAAGAAACCATTTAATATTACAAAGGTTGTAAATTTTGTAAAGTTAGAATATAAAATTTTTGAACAGTGATGCATAATTGAAAAGAAAAATAAATTTCATAAAATGTATATATTAACTGTTCTACTACATTAAAAAAAAACGAGATGGACACAAATCGCAGAGACGAGATGAGTAGACGCTGCCATTCCCGCAGTGAGCTCTCCTTTCGCAGAAAGACTTGAGATGCACAGCACACACACACACAATCAGCTTAAACTCTCATGTCTAGGTTCAATAAAAGGAGGCCATTTACAAAAGGAAAACAAACTCAAGAGACTACAAAAAGTGACTTGGTGACTGCTCCCAGTATTCACACATCTCGATGGGTAAAAACCCGACTACACTGGCCTTGGTTCCATAAACACATGCTGTCTTCCACAGTTTACGCTGTACAAAGAGTTGCAAATCTTGAGAAACCTCATACTTAAATCATTCGATCAAGAGAGGAAAATAATGGACAGCTGTCTTTAAGTCTCATAACACAACCATTCCTATATCCTACCATACAACTTGTCAGTCAGATCCACTGAAAGCTAACATGGTCACATTACTCAATATCAGGAAGTCAACCTTAAGAAACTGGAATACTCTGTACACAAATTGGGGAAGGAAGAGAGTTGGGAAACATGCATAATCCAACAATGTACTTGCTTTCTTCCTCTTCTCTGAGTTTTACATCACACTGTGTCACATCATCATGAGCCCTTGTTAAGATGTTTTCGGTCAACACCACAGAGTTACCATTCAAGGACATTCAGAGCCTGGTTGAACCGTGGATGTCCCTCTACATGCACGACACACTGGCCAGCCATGTCCAAACAGAGGTATTTCAGTAGTCTCCTCTGGTTTAGGAGACATGTTGTGTCACATTTTTGGTAAACAGACACAGGTTTTTTTTTGGAGGGTGGGGGGAAGGGTGGGGTTCAAAACTTTATTAAGTTGTTTAAAAAAAAAAAGTCTAATATATGGTTTTAATCGAAAGGTGCACAGAGTGGTAGAATCACACTTGTATCTGTGCAGTAGTAGTGGTTTCAGTGGCCCATAAAGACCAGGTAGAGCAATGCAGGGGAAAAAGACTGAATACCAGCTGGAAGGGAACTGGACAATAACTCAGAGGACAAAGGACATCTGAGACAAACGAGGTATACGGGAGGAGTTGAGACGAGACACACCAGCAGAGCTACTTGGTTTGGCTGGTCTGTTGCTCAGGCAGCTGGAGTTCATTTCATCAGGGATCCAGGAACTGCTGCTTAGCATGTAAGCTAGTAATGCTGTTTAGGTTCAGATGAGTCCCCCTGAGTTAGTGCACATGTCAGTCAGGCAGGCCACGCCTGCTTGTTCATTAAGAAATCCACAAACCGAAGCAATGGAAAAAATATCAATTCAGTAATTCCATAACAAGTTTACAATTAGCTTTGGAGAGAGATTCTGTCATAGTTTTACAAGTTAAAATTACACCAATGTTAGTGTAGAGGAAGTTGGGAAAAGGTTCAGGTAAAAAACAAAACAAAAAAACAGCAGCTCCCAAAATGGTGCAGCTGACCTATTAGCCCTGCTCATTGTCTGAAAACTCTGAGAAGTATGCATTTTGTGTTGTGAATGTAATGTGCGTTACATGGCGCCCTATCAGACGCAGGGCTGTGTTTGTTTGAACATGCTCATACTTTTATACTGTATTCTGAACATCTGACATGATTTGCAAGTGGTTACTGGTGCAGGTCTGCCCGGCAGGAGAGTTATGGGGACCTGGACGGGTGCTGGTGTTGCAAATTATTCTGACTGTGCATCAGTCAGACAGACAGGTAGACAGGCAGGTGGGCTATAATGGGAGTGAGGAGCTGAGGCTAGATCAAGGGAGCTGTGTCCATCAAAACTTTGTTGGGGTCCAGGCTGGCAAAGAAGCGGACGTCCCGGTCCTTGTCGGACTGCAGAGCCATGACAGTCTCTTCCAGCTCATCAGAGTAGGCACAGACCGGCTCCTTGAAGTATGCTGGAAACCAAGTACCAGACTGAGTGAACATAAAAAGCTACCAGCCAGAAGCTACAGGGCAACTTCTGAAAGAAGACACACAACGCCTTGCTTACAAATGAAAAGCTGATTTTATAGGTAATAAAAAAAATAAAAACTTGCCTATAAGAGCACTGTTTCAACAAAAATATAAGTGTGCTGCCTGCCTCGTTATTCCAACAAATCCATATGGCAGCCCAACATTATACATCATCAATTTATATACTGCATCATATGCAGCTGTCTTTTAGTTTTTAAATGCTCAGAAATATGTTCATACCACTCTTTTGCACTGAAATACCAATGTTAATGTGGTCAAAATCACTGAAATTCATGCCATTTAATTTTCTGACAGTATAGGCTATATTTATTTAATTATACAAAAGAAGAAAAACAGCCAAATAGTCGCACTTAAGAGCCGACTGACAAAATCCGGGTACAGCCCTACATATAACTGATGGCTAATGATTTTTAGGTAGTTCTGAAAAGGTTGCAGTTTTGCTGTAAAGGCATAGTTCAGCATTGTGGAAATAAAATTCTTTGCATTATTGCAGAGGGAAACAGCTAGCATGATGAAAGTACAAAGATCCCTTTGACCAACACTTCTGATGTCCACTAATTAACACACTGTCTTTTAATTCGTATACAAATGAAAATATTAAAAAAACCGACAAGTTGGGGTTTATGCTCTATAACTTTCTCAGTGCATATCCAAAAATGTACCTTTAAAGATCAGAGACATCAGTCACTGACTTCACTTTCATTTTACCTTTTTCCATGACAGTCTGTCGTAGCGCTTTAGCCACTAGTACACGAACGTTGGCCACTGGGTCTGAGGAGAGGCTGAGTAGGCTGGGCAGGAGGTGCTGGCTGAACTGCTCCATAGGCATACAATCCTCCTCCACGATGGCCTAAAATAAGAAAATTCATTCAAGACAACCAATCAAACTGATGCACAGCCATCTATGCTGCTGAAGCTGCCATTCCACCATTTCATGTGAAGTAAAGTTAAGATGCTACAAACCTGGCAGATAAAGGCAAATGCCTGCCGCCCCACCCACTTGGGACAGTGACAGAACCTTATGGTGAGTTCGTTAATGAAGTTCAGGCCCAGATCATCAGCACCACATGAATACAGTTTTTGAAGGATCTCTACAACCTGAGAACACAGAAGGCAATAACAGTTGAAAAATTCACTTTCTTTGACCAATGACACTAGACTTGTCCATGGAGCAAGACACAAGCTATACTGTATTCTCTTTATTGATAAGAGTTAGGGGAGATTTTTTTTCCTGATCAATCTATAAAATACAGATGCTGTAGTCTAACAGCCAATTGAATTGATGAAGGTTGCCTAAAATGCATAACAGATACAATCATCTAAAAATACTCAAATCAATACTGTGGGACTTTTTTGTACCGATTGAGATCACTTGACTGCCCAGCCCTTGTTCTAACCAAGCTGCAATGATCAAATACAACTATCAATACTTTACTGTATCTCATAATAACATATGCAGAACATCATCCATCTGTGTGACTCGTTTCCCTTTTTGTCTGAGATTTTCGCATGTTTTTGCTCATCCAACTATCAACCATAAGATTTTCCTCACCAGCAAAAAACCCTAATTCAATTTTGTACACTTACCAATTTGTATGAGATCCATCTGACCTCAGAGACTTTGTCAGAGCAAAGTGTGAGTGCTATCTGTCTGAGGTAGTCATACACGTCATAGTGGCTGTACAGCTCTATGATCAAGATCAACTGCCTGGAGGGTGGGAGAGAGAGCAAAAACTAGGTCTGACATCAGGGTTATATTTCCTGTGAACAGTTGTATAATAGAGTCCTTGCATACTGTCATAAGAGACTCTGCTAAAATGTAATCATTTGCAAATTTCTTCCTGACTTGAAGAGGAAAAGGAGACATACTCTGCCAGCTCATATCTGAATCTCCAGTTGCGACTGTTGTCCGTCACCATGAACTCCTGCAGCTGGTACAGATATTCTCTCCTCTTGTCTGCGTGCAGCAGCTGCAATGAGAAAATGCACATTAACCTGCTTAATTATCTAGTGTTACCTGTAAAACAACTGATTCACCTGTGACTTTCTTCATCAAATCATAACAGAGCTCTTGATACAGCTAAGTCCCTTGTCATCAGTCACAACTGCTTTAGTGCAACATAGCAAACCAAAACTTTCCAACTCTTTGATCTCTAAATCTTTTTTTTTTTTTTTATCTCCCCTGGACCAGCAGTAGAGGAATATAAACCTTACCTTGAGGAAGTCATACAGGTGTTTGAGCACGCCAATGCGGACCTCGTCCAAGTCTTTGAGGAAACCATTGAAGATGGGCACCAGATCAGCTGCCGTCAGCTGGTCTCCCAGAATAACTGCCAGCTCATGGATGGAGAAAGCCAGTGTGCGCCGCACCTTCCACTGAGAGGGGGGGAGGTAGTGTCAGTCATGGACAAGTCAGGTCTAATAAACAAAAATATACTAGCATGTTTTTTAAATAGCAAGACAACAATGTATGAACATGTTTATAGTTATTGATGAAGCAGCGTAATCCTTACATAAAATAAGTTACTGAGAAACAGGCCATTTATCTGAATCGCTCTGTGACTAGCAGTGGTCCACTGCAATGTTATCAAGCTAACAGGGACATTCAGGGCTGTGATGAGATCATGAGGAAGTGAGAGCCATCACACTGTCGCTGCTGTTTGATGTGAAGCAACTGTGCTGTGTATATTTTCTGTTGTTCCTCACATCCTCACATAATGCGCGTGCATAAGAATCATGTTAAGGACAAAATCACTCATGACGATTGCGCGAGAAATGTAGTGAAATCCTTGGCTGAACAAAAATGTTGTTCCTGGATAACACTGACACATGGCTCATTTAGGACTTGGACAAGGAAAGACAGGCTGCATCAACAGCCTGACAGTGTCAGAAATAACACAATGTGACTGCTTCTATGACACACATTTATAAAGCATCTCACATCTCCCCCCTCTTTTTAAGAGTTTCCAATACAATATTTCCAAAATAGTGTAATACCTTGCTACTTTTTCATTTCCTCATGCAGTCTCTCTCATTTTGGAATCTGAATCACAAAATTTGCCATCAAATGCCACACGGCCATCTCATGATGACCCACCTGCACATCAGTAGCAAGAGTTTCATATGTGTCTTTGAGGCAGTGCCAGTTCTGTCGTCCCAGAGTAAGAGCAACCCCAGGCAGGCTGAAGGCACAGTGTTTGGCTATCTCTGTATCCACTGTTTGGGCCCGGGCTGGGTCTGTCATAGAGAGGTACTGATCCAATAGCTGCTGGGGGATGACATTCTGAAGGCACAACAACAAATTAAAGAGCTTGAGGACCAAAGAGAAACACGAATGCAGAGTAAAAAGGTATAAAATAATCCATGTGCTAATCAACAGCAAATGTGGGGAGCAAATCAATATTTCCAGGATGTATAATTGTGCTGACTGACCTGGATCTTGGGCTTGTCTTCAGAGAGTGGGCTATGTGCAGAGTCATCCTTTCCCTCCTCCTCCACACTCTCAATCAGTTCAGACTCCTGAGGAAAAATACAAATATTCACACAAATCTCCCATTAGAAAAAATACACTACTTTTGTCACTTTCTTTGTTCTCAGTAGATACACAAGGCCTACCCTAATGCTGGATTTATAGTTGTGTGTAAAGGGGTTGCAGCATAGCTATGGAGGCTACAGCTGACTTGCACCTCCTAAGAAAAAATGAACTGCACACTGGGGCTACAGAGGTTTCATGATGGTGGAGATTGAAGACCAGGTTAAGGAGGACGGTGGTAAGGGATGTTCTCGTTTTCGGTAACACGCATCTTGCTAAAACATCATAACTGCAAACTTCTACTCACCACAAGGGCTGCACTCTTTCACAGTGAATTAAACAAAACAGATCATGCAAGATTTCATAGCAGTAGTCTCCTATACAGGAAGGAGATCAATCAAAATACGCATGGAGTGAGAGAATATGCAGAGCCCAACATCACTAATTAAATCAACTTCTAAGTTCTGACCTGTATAAAAACAATTTCCTGCCCACATTTTAACAGCCTTGGTTATTTCATGAGATTTGTCCTCGTTTGTTTCACTAGTTCAAAGTGGCCAGGTTGAGCTACGTGTTTCAGTGCACCAGTGAAGATTTAGCAAAATCTGAATCACAATCTGAAGACAATTGTTACCAGCCCACTGTCAAGTTTTATCAAACCACAGTGCCAATTAAACAAATTAGCTATTTGTAACACTTATTTTTATTCAGAACTTTGTGTTGCTGATTTGCCCTGAATATAGAGAAACCAAGGTTTCAAGGGTTTTGAAGAATGATACAGATTGATTAGTGTCAAAGTGGTGTTATTAATGGGATAAATCTTAACAAAACCTGCACTGTGGTACGTATCTATGGTAAAACTCCTGTTAACCCCTTGTGCCAAGTACAAACCCAGCTTAGGTTCAGTACATGCATGTAGTTTTTGAGTACATTTGTTCAGCCATATATATTATACAGCTGAGTTAAGACAACAACATGTGTATAGTTTCGTACAAGAACAGGGGAGTCACAAGGAGACTCATCCCGGTAGCCCAGGGGCTCTGTCTGAGTCTCTTCATCTCCTTGCTCCAGGACAAGGTACGACTCCACAGCTGGAGGACTTTCCATCATTTGCTCCTCTTCTGTGGGACTCTTCTCGCTCTCTGACTGAACCTCTAAAGATATGCTCTCCACACATGGGCTCTCAGTGTCATTCTTAGGCTGCACTTCTGGCTGGGATTCAGTTGGGCTGTCTGCCGGGCAGTTGTCTGCTGGACTGTCAAGCTGGGCTGCTTTCAGAGCTGCTGACAACACCTGGACTTGGGCTGGAGGTAAAGTACACATGCACAGCTCAACCTACATGCCAATACAGTGCAAAAATAAAGCTACAGAGACAGCAGCTGATCAGATATAAAGGCAAGAAAGTGCTGCATGCAACTAGTCACAAATATTGTGGCTCTGTATACTCACCTTGTACATCAGGGTCATCCATGTGTGGTTGCAAACAGTCCAAAACCTTCTGGATCTGGTCGCTGGTAGCTTTGCCATGGCTGGATTTGGAATCATGACAATTATTTTCAGGTTCCTCCTCGTCTCTCTCTTTCTCATGCTCCTTGTCTATCACTTCTTCTGATGCCTGACAACTTATCATTTCCAGTTCTTCGCTGATGTCTGGTAAAGGACACCTCCAGAATCGGAAAGAATTAAAGTTCTCATCTGTCTGCTCCATCTCTTTTGTGTTCTTAGTATTGTTTGTAGTTGTAGAGCTTTTATAGCTGTTTGAGATGCTGTAGGTGAAGTTGTCATGCGCCCCTCCAGAAACAGGAGTGTGGTTGTCATCAAAGCTGTGCAGGTCCTCACTGTCTGGTGTCAACATGTGCTCTGGGGAAGGTGTGGCACGGCCGTCCTGGTTGGGAGGTGTGTGAGCGATGGGTCTTTTGGTGTGGCAATTCAGGGAATTTAAGGAACATTCACTGAAATTAGAATAACAAAATGTATTGGAATACTTTGGCAAATCCTTAAAATGTATCTAATCTCTAATACTGCCTTTTTGTAAACATTAACTACGAGATGTGCTACCCAAACCCTATAGTTAAAACCACACAGTAACAGTGTTCAACCTTAGTTCAACGTTGGTCAGATTTTAAACTATACCAAGTACTCCTCTGAAGGCAGCATTACCTTCTAGGTAAAAATATCTCAACATGGCGACTTCAGGTCTTTTCATTTCTCTGTCTCTGCAAACAAACCTTTTAGCAAAAAAAAAAACCCAAAAAACAAACAAAAAACCCTGGTCTGTCCTGATCTTGCCCAATTATGACCACAATTCATCAGAATAATGATGCAACACTTGAAGCTGCATCTGTGTCAACACAAACTCATGTTTGTGCAGTGCATATTATTACTACTACCTGAACAAATATAGTTCACTAAATGAACTAACAATATCTGGCAAACTTTGACCTACTCTGATACAAAAAACCCATAACACTGAATCCAGTATTATTCAAACAAACCAAAAAGAGACATCAAAGTAAACCATCACCTGTAAAGAAGAAAATTAGATGGGTTTACCTGTCTGTTGTACACCTGGGGACCTCTGGTAGGGCACCGTCCTCTCTGAAATGAATGCCTCTGCTGGCTGGATTAGCAAAAGTGGAGATGAAACGTCCCAGAGACTGAAAGGCAGCCTGGCGCACCTACAAGTGGAGCAGTAAAGACTCTCAGTTTGAACGTGACAGAGGATTTTCACAAGTGTTACGCTAACAATCTTCATTTGCTTAAGAGATTAAGGAATTAGGGAACAGGATTATTTGTATGAGACACTAGTTTAAAAGGCTGCATATATAGCACACATGCACAGTGGAATTGCATGCAGTTCTGTTTATACAGTGAGAATCTGCATACACAAGATCCCAAATGTTCATCATAGCAAACTGCCCATGCGGTAATAAATTTTGGTCTGCACATGGAACCTCATGTCTAAGCAGCAACTATTCTATTTTCATCACAATACAGAGGGAGTTACATATAAACACGCTTACCCAGCGGGACTGATCACTGATGAGGCTGATGAACAGGGGGGAAAGTTTTGTGCGTCGCACCCCAGGAGAAGTGCAATTGGAAACCACCATAAAGCACTCAGCACAGGCTTTCCTGATACCCCACAGACTGTCTGAGCACAGATCGAAGAACTTGGGCATCTACATTGAAAGCAAAACCAAGTCTTCAAACTTTGAGCAGTGATGGATTTCTAAACTACAAGCATGCAATTAAACTAGTGACTTAATTTGACACACAGTGAAGTTTCATGGCATCACTTTGACTACACTGCAATCTAACACAGCTAACGTGACTCATTGGATGTTATATATGTTAAGGCTTGAGTCATGAAAGGCTCGAAGGTCATCACTGTTAAGATTTTATGTTACGTCAAAAAAAAAAAACTGTCACGTCTCTCACCAGTAGCTTTTCTGTGGCTTCCTGACCTACAATAGAACAAAATTCTCCAAAATTGGCAGCACAGACCTGTAACACAAAACAAAAACATAAATAGTAATAGGGCAATACACTTAATGAATCATGCGTTTATTTTTAAACCACATAAAACCACTCAAAAAATATTTGTGTTCGCATTTATTTTTACATCTGTTATTTATGTGGCCTTGTTGAGAAATCATCCCTCCCATGGCAACTGGACTTTGATCAAAAAGACCAGACTACAGTGATTTTGAACAGCTGTTTGATCTTATTTGTAATGTTGATTATATAAACATTGAAATGCAATTTAAGCATTTATTGCACTTAACAGTATCTAATTGTTCAAATCATTCAAATACATTTTGCCTTTGCTTGGCAAAACCATCACAGACCACCAGTGACGCCACAGGATTAACATTCCTGAATGACAGAAAACAAAAGTGTAGGTGTGGACTACGTTGATGTGCAAAACAAAATTAAGGCTGATTCACAGAGTTATTGAATTTATCCCCATGGAACACCCGAAACATAATTAAACACAAGTTAAGTGCAAGTTGTAACTGAAGTCTGAAACTGATTGTACTGCATGTTCAAAATTATACTATAATATGTCTGACTTTTTAAAGTCAGGAAGAGGAGGTGTAAATGGTGTGGAGGTTCTTACCTTGCGAACTTGGAAGAGTCTGGCATCACTGCACAAGTCACAGAAACGTGGCAGGAGTAGATGCTCCACTGTGTCTTTACTCAACATGGTGACAACTTTACACATAATCTGTATCAGCAGACGTGGAGAGCATTAAGTGTCACCACAACTCAGACTGTGCTCCAACTGCACAAACAATTTGCATTTATGAATGAAAACTAGCCGACGATTTGAATAGAAAAGATTTACAAAAAGGTGAAAAATGTGCCACTGAGGGACAATACAATACAAATAATCACATTTAACAACATACTTTGGTATTAAGAGTGGAGATGGAAAGAGAAGTGTGTGTAAGTTATAGGAGGTTCAGTGTGACTCAGGTGGCTGAACACATTTGAGATAACATAATTTGAACAGTGTAAAGTGAATAACTAATGCAAGGAAAAAAAAAACATCAAGTTATAACACAATAGATTTTCTTACAGCAACTGCTTCTATTTTGTAGTCGTCATCACTGCTGGGTTTTGTGAGATCTAGCAGAACTGGACAAACTTTGGTTTCCATGTCAGCTTTAGAAATGAGGCCCTGCTCCAACAGAACAAGCAGCGCTGCCTGGCTCGTCTTCCGCACCTGGAAAAAGTATAGGCGACTTAAAAACCAGTTTTAAAACTTTTTTTTTACTTCTTAAACTTTAAGATTTTGGGGGGGAATCTTCCTTTTACTTGATTGTTGACAGTCTCAACCAAACCTTGGATATTGCTTTACGCCATTACACTTCTAGTAACACAACTACCTGTAATGTACCAATACTTCAGAAACAAAAAAGCATGCTTGACTCTCTTTAACCAACTGTTTTCACAGTTTTTAACTGTAAAGATCAGCTAGAAAACTGTCAAATTGGAAACCTACCTGGTTATTTGGATCAGTGAGATACCGGACCACGATTGGTACCAAGTATCTTGAGAAAGCGGCTGGGAAGTTATGCCTACTCTCATGTAAAAACATGGCAATGTTGGGGACCTGCTCCATCAGCTCAGCTCGCACTGTGGGCTCTGAGTCGACACATTACATTATACGATTAATAATAAAAATAAAATGTGGCCATTACAGTGCAACAAATGTTATGTACTTTCAATTGTGTAGTGATTAAATCCTGGACATTTTGTTTAGTAAAATAATAATAATAATAATAGTCAAAAAATGATCATATTAAACTGGGACGTAAGGCCATAGTGAATTTATCTAGTGGATATCACCACAAAACAAAAGAAAAGGAAAATTCATCTACCTCCATCTTCTGACATTCTGACAACTGTCTCCATGACACTGATAAAGTCATTTTCATTGTCACTGAACTCTCGAAGCACATCAAGCAGGCCACGAGCCACAATCTGCCTAGAAAGCAACAGGAGCATCAAGTTAGCACACTGTCCGCCATTGCCTAGAAGTGCTGAGGACACAGCTGTCAAGTACACACACGTACTTGGTAATGACAACAGGGCCTGAACCCTGCAAAGCTGAGCATGAAACGCATGAAGACAGGAACTAAACATGTTTATGTGAGGACAACAGACTGGTGGCACTGTGATGAAACTATTCAAAAGCAACATACTGAGGAGTTTAAATACACTGAGTATATCTGGCAGGCTATTAGTTTACCAAGCAGAAGGCTAAAGCAATAATACTACCATTGTCAACCTAATGCTTTGTTCAGACTGACACTAGGACACTACTATAAGTCTTTTGGCATTTGGTTAACACAGGTATGCAATTAGTAAATACACAAGAATGCAGTGAGTCATTCAGCTGACTATGTAAAAAACAAGCCTGGAGCTGACTTGAGATCGTACGACATGTTTATGTCAAGTTCTGATGTGTGATTTATGATATAATTCATGATTCTATACAATTCAGTCAACGAAAAAAGCTTAAATAGCAGTGTACTATTGTGCAACATTATGCCATTAACTACCTAAGCCAAATAAGACGCAATGATGATGATAGCAATGATGTCCTTGCACACTGAAAAGCCAATCAACTATCTAGTAAATGTAAATGTGCAAGTACACAAAATAAAATACAACAGACCAAAGTTTACTTTATATCATACAAAACAAACTCACTGATGAACGGTTCCCAGACAGAGTTCAACTCATCTAAAAAAAAAAAACCTGAATATCTGGTTACATTTTCTTATCCCTTTTAGGTAGCACCTCCGTGTTATTTGACAGATGCTTCCTTGTTGCTAAAATCAACTAGATATGGCAGAATGTCAAAGTGCCAAACTGGATTGATCACACAAAATAATCACTATGATGTATAATACATATACTGTACATTAAACATTATTTTGTGCTTTAAGGCAAATACAAATGAATGATGACCAAGAAATAAAGTGGGCTTGATGTGGATGGAAGGCCAAAAGGCAGATACCAAAAAATCTAAGTTAAGCCTAAAGATAGTCAGATTATCAGTTCATGGTTTAGGCCTCGTATGTGTGATATGAAGCTTTTTGCCTGGCTTTGGGTGCTGCCTGAGCACAGGGCTCCACTTACCTGTTGAAGACATTCTCACTGAAGGCATATTTCTCTAGTCTTCCAAGAGGAGTTAGGTTGTCTTGTCCTGCATCAAGGAAGGCTGTGATGCGGATTCCGTCACACTCTGAAGCATAGTCATCAAATCCAACTTTGGGAGGGAGAAAAAGATTATTTTATACTCTCACAAATTGAAGCAATATTTGAAACACACACACATAATGCCTACAAAAACAAAAGACTTTAATGAGGATACTGACAGATATACCACAGCAGTCTATAAACTGATGGGTAGGCCAAATGGCAGGAATGGAGAACATCTAGTGTGGATGAAGCATCAAGGCTCAAGTCTAACTGATTATTACATTTAAAGTTTCAACCATGGCACTGCCTGTACAGCTAGATCTAAATACTTTTTCATCACTCTGGCTAATGCAGACGGCAGGGACTGTGGGTCTTTAGAACTGCTAATAATAACATGGCATAAAACCCTGAACTACTGCTGCCAGCTTTAAATTTCACATGGGTTAAAGGGGTTGCCCAGAAA